GCACACAGTCGCGCATGCCGTCTCAGTCACCATCTACACACCAGCATCGCACAACTGACACGCACAGTACAATGGCTGTGCACACACATTGGCAACACACACCACACACCACACACACACACCACACACACACACACACACACACACACACACACACATACACACACACCATCACACAACACACACACACACACACACCACACACACACACAACACACACACACACACACGACACACACCAACACAGCACATATATAATATATAATATATATATTAGAGTATATAGTGTAATAGTGTGTTATAAGTAAATCACACACGAACACCATGTGAATAAAAAAAACAAATTCAACTAATGTTAAAGGGTGGTTAAACATTAATTACGCGCAGCCTTTCGAGATGCTACATCTCTTACTTAGGCCAGTACATCTCTTCAGTGTGCTTTATGCATGTAGCTAGATATGTCGGTTGTCTTTAGTGCTGTATTGTCTATTCTACAACTCACGCTGTGCTCGGTGCTCTGAATTACAGATAGATGTGGTATAGGCTAGAGCCAGCGCATACCAAATCGACAGATCAGAACAATGTTCAGCGTCGTACGTCGCACGATCTCAGCGTGCTCTCGCACTGATCGTACGACTATAGCTGCGGCAGCTGCTCGTGGCGTGAAAATTTCTAAAACAAAACACAAACAAAATTGTCTCACTTTTAGCCTCAGCGGTCCATAGCATCGCTATCGCGATCAGCAGCAGTAGGAAGCAGAAAGCAGTAGCCGTCGGTCGAAGCCCCATGCATCGCTCGGCGATAGCGACACATGGATCATGCTCATAGCGGCTCGTCACGCCTATGCATGTATGTGAATGCCAACGCGCTTCAACCCGTCTACTGCGCGCACGCTATCGCGTAGCCTGCTAGTGCATTACTGAACTAGCAACAAGCTTTGGTCGCATAGTTTGCTAATCTTGGTCATTGCGCCCGGTTGTTTGCGAGAGCGAGGAACGGACTATATGGCTCAATAACCGTACTAACGGCCTCATAGCAGTCGATGATCCTCAGGTACTGCCGAACGTACCCTGGGTAACGGTCGGTATACGGAACGCACCCTGGTAACCTAGTCTGATATGGCTTAAAGTTAGGGGTTAGGATTAGCGGATTAGGTTAAGATTGCGGTTAGTTAGGCGTTAGAGAGTAGCGAGGCCGACGGCCCTAGACTCGTTAGTTGGAGTAAGGCGAGGTACACGGCTTCCGGCACTATTAGATAGTACCAGGTACGTTCAGGTATTACCGGACCTTACCAGGCCAGGTACGTTTCGGTCTAGGCTGTTGTTTGTGCGTGCTCACCGCTGTGCGGGGTCGCCTAGTGTCAGTACTCCCTCGCAGAGCGTACTCGCATTACTCAGCAGATTATAGCGTTTTTACGTTATTCTTTTGCATTCAACTGTCTTCGTTTCGTGCGGTCATCGATACAAAGGTTCGTTGGAATCTTTCTGCGTTTTCGCTTGCGAATAACGGTGCAAAAGAACCCGGTGCATCGCATAGCTTGTGTCGTGTGCGTGCGGCTGCTGCAAAACATGGAAACTTACAGGAGCGCTGGTTCACGAGCTCGCACGTGTTCGTAATGAATAGGAGTGCGTAATGAGCGGAATGTTGTGTGTGTGGCTGTGGGCGGTGCGTGCATGCGTACATGCATTGTCGTGTGTGTGGGTGTGTGCGTGTCGGGTGTGTGGCGTGCATCGCGTGCGTGCGTGCGTCTGCGTGGTGCGTGCGTGCGTGCGTGCGTGCCATGCGTGCTGTGTGCGTGTTACATGCATGCGTGCGTGCGTGCGTGCATGCCGTGCGTCGTGCGTATGTCGTGGTCTGGTGTGAGCTGTTAGTGCGTGTGTTGCGTTGTGTCCTTGTTGTCGGAGTGGTGTGTGACCTGTGTGTGGCGTGGTGTGTGTGGTGGTGTTGAGGGTGTGTTGTGTGGTGATCGTTGGCTCGGTTGTGCGTGTTGCTGCGTGTCGCGGCTGCATTGCGTCGTGCGTCAGCGTGTTCTGTATGAGTGGCGATGTGTGAGGTGCTGTTGTGTGTGAATGTGTGTGTTGTGCTTTGTGTTGTACGATTGCATGGTCTTGCTATTGGTGCTGGGCTGTGTGTGTGTGTGTGCTGTGCGTGTGCGTGCTGTTGACTGTGTGTAGCGGCTGTGTTGCGTGTTTGGTGGCTGGTTGGTCGGTGGCGTGTGTGTGTGTGTTTTGTGTGTGTGTTTGTGTTGTGTGTGTGTGCTTTCTGTGGTGTGTGTGTGTGTGGTGTGCGTGGTGTGTGTGTGGGTGTGTGTCGTGTGGGCTGCGGTCGCGTGGCGTGTGTGCATGTCGTGTGTGGTGTGCCGTGTCGATGTTCCGGTGTGTGCGTGCGTGCTGTGTGCTCGGTGAGCGTGCGCTGCGTTTACTTGCTGTGCTTAGCCGAAGTTTCATAGGCCGTTACCGTTTGAGGCGTAATAATAATTTATTTCGTGATCACTGTACGGCTCACACTGCATTCGCATCTCCACTCCTGTTGCTCACTCAGTCTTTCTCTCTCTCTCTACTGTGCTCTCTCTCCTACATGCTACCTCCCTCCTTCTCCCTCTCGTTCTCTTCTCTCCGCTCCGTCTCTCTGTCACTCGGTGGTCTCTCGCTCTCTCACCAGTCCTTCTCTCTGTTCTCTTATACATCTTTTTCATTCTATCTCTCTAGCGCTTTCACCCTTTCTAAGATCATACGCGTGATCACTATATTGTGATTTCTCTCCTCCCATTATCATACATATTGTCTTCTCACACGGAGCTTATACTTACTCGCTCTCTATATACATTCTCATACTCTCATCTGCTTATCCATTTATTCATCATTCATCTTGTACATCCTATGGGAGGATAGATTCCATCGCTAGCTAATTTATACTCCTATATCGCTCAAGATATGCGTTAGATGTCGTAATATGTAGCTCATATTGATCTGTTGATATGGTGACATGATAGGCATTTATGCGAAATTGATTGTCGTACTTGTGTTGTATAAGGACACGCACTCCACGCTCTGCGTCCTCATGTCACGCGGCCCCTCGCACTAGATTTTCATAAGTATATATCGCTAGTCTAAGATCGCATTGCGTTTAGTTTTATTAATCTTGACAGCCATCGTTTTCGTCGATTTCTCAAATAGGCTTTTTGACGGGTGGGTTCACTCGTATTCGCACCAGACATTAGTCTGATTAGTTATGTATGTACGCACGTCGATCCGAATTTTATTTCCTGTGAGAAGTGTGCTCTAATAGCACCCATGCATCTATGCTAACAGTCCTAGGTGGACGAGTAGATTCTCAAGATGCGAAAATCTGCTCATATTATATTCTTTTATTCTTCGTTCAAACTCACAACATATGGTGATTGTTATTTATTAAGTGTGTCGGCGATGACGAATACCTAGAAGTATGAGACGCACGCGGATGTATCTTCTATACGTGAATGTTTTCTCACGACGGCTCGGCGAGTATTTGCAACCGGTATCTCTGAGCACGAAAGCAGCTGTATTCTTCAATCCCTTAGCGGCAATCCTATCTCCACCTGCGCTGTAGTGCAGCAGTATCATGGGCTAGCTCAGAGAAGACATGTGGAGCACATCGAGGACATACAGCGTTTGAGCGCTCACGTTATACCATGCGCCTCACACTCGTGCATATGCGAGAATTACAATCAATAGAAATCAACGACTGTGACGGCGGGTATGGAATAGCATATATTTTAGACAGACATATGCTTTAGCTCGTGAAATATATAGTAGATACTAGCTGCTTGTACCCCGCTGCGCTGACACTTGATACCGCATCCAGTGTTTGAGTCGAGCGAACTTTTCTTTGTACGGTCTGCGTCACATAAATCTCTCAATACTTGAGTATAGAGATGGAGTACAAGTAAAAATATAATTAATTAACCATATGTGATTCAACCAGTGCTGCAGTCCGGAATGCATACACTCCTAACGGTTTTATCATATTGAATAAATCTCTAGACAATATTGAATAGCAGTTAAGTTGAGGCCATTCGAAAGACTAAGTGCAAACATATTAGAGTTTTCCTGTCTGCGAACGTGTAACATTTTCTATATAATGAAAACTACTTACTAAGTACGCATAGCGGAGCCGACCAATTAATACTAGAATATTATTTTGTAACATCGTGTTTAACTAGTGATTTTTGATGCCTATCTGTTATTTCATCGCACAAGTCAGGAAATGGCACTACGTAAAGTTGGAATCAACAACTTGTCCCATAAAAGTCTCTAATCTATATTAAATATATTATTAGTGCTCTGTCATAAATGACTAAATCATCTGTCCATAATACAATGTATAATTCAGCATAGTTGTATTCAGATGTATGATTGAGCGATTGATAGGTAGCCTTTATATTTGAAGCGAAATATAGACTCATATGCTATCATCTAAGCAGCAGGTTTCTTTTTTCTCGTGTTTGCTGGTCCTTGTCTTCTAGACTAGTGAGGGACCTCTCTTATGGTCTAGAAAGCATGTGCCCAATGGACGTACTCTCGCACAAACTGCTGTAGTTTTCACCAGCGTAAGCATGTGCGCGCAGTCGTAATCCACGCGGGTGCGGCTCGACTACTCGTCCGCCCAGAGGGAACAGAATATTTGACGGACTCGGAGCTGCGAGTCGACCTCAGTGTCAATAGACTGTCACCATAGACTGCGTAAGAAAACTTGTTGCGGTTGTCAGATAGATAACAATTGCTGAGTCATCGGTAAGTCTATGAAGTGGACTCTCTTAGTGCTGCGATAAGATGTGCTCTCTCACCTGTTGTGATTTAGCTCGCACTAAGACGTGCGTTTCGTGTTTCACTCCTCTCCGCTCGGTAGCCCCTTCTCCCCCCTATTCCCCCTCCTCTCCTCCTCCCCCCTCCTCCCCCTCTCCTACCACCCATCCTCCCCTTCTCCCCCTCTCCTACAAGCCATCCTATCGCACCCCTACATCACTGATTCTTGCGCATGCGCCGCTCGCTCGCATCGACCTCCGTCAAGGACATTGGCGGTTTCTGCGGCTGTATGTAAGCGCCCCAGAAAAAATGCGCAAACAGCACCGCATAACTCACATACATAAGCAACCCGAATTTCAAACTAACTGCGCTGCCCGCGCACGCTTCCCCGGCCGATTTCAGCTGCCAGGCGACGTAACTAACCGCCATGCCGACGACCATCTGCGCGAGCTGGCATGACGTCAGAGCGACGGAGACCCAGCGGGGGAGTCTGACGTCGGCCGAGCGTAGAGCGTAGTAGGCGTACATGGCAGCGTGCACGCTGTAGTTAAGAGACATGAACCACAGACCCGCGCCCGTGCTTTCCGAGTACGAATACCACGAGTAGACGAGGACGGTCACGTGATGGTACCAGTGCAGAAAGACGAGTCGACGCTTGCGCAGAATAATGAAGAGAGTGTCGACGAGCTCCGGACACTTGCTGACGTTGAACAAGAAGGTCCAATATCCGGTGACACCCCGAGTGAACCAATCGTCGCATATCGAATACTTAAACCCGTACGTGTTGATCACCCATAGCAACGCGGGCACCGTACGCAGCGCCCCCATGAGGCTGAACACGGCGAGGGAGGCGTTCCAGACGAGCAGCGGTCGGCGCAGTTCGAATCCCGGACGCGCGTGCATGAGATGGCGACCGATGAACACGCAGATGACGTAGGCGGCTCCGTAGAAGAACGTCACGTGCCAGTTTTCCTTCATCCAAAGCGAAGCTGCCGAGTAGTCGATGTCGCGCTCTATGTCGAAGACGACAGAGTAGTTCATAGTGATACTCATGGCGGCGACAGCGACGACGACGACGTTGACACTGCCGACGATTACGGCGATGCACTGGCGACAATGGCACTAGCGACGACGATGACGACGACGACGATGACACTGCCGACGATGACAACGGCGATGTCGACGTATATAATGGCACTGGCGACAACGACGACGACGACGACGATGACGACGTATATAATGGCACTAGCGACGACGACGACGACGATGACGACGACGACGACACCACGTTGACTCTACGTCCGGCGGCGACGGCAACGATGGCGACGGCACTAGCGTTGGACGGCAGACGACACGCTGTACCGACGTCAG